GTTCTCCATGTGGGATCAGGTGGGAATGTCGCTGGTGCGGCACAAGGGTCTTGCCCAACTGTGGCTGCCAGATGGGGGTCTCCATGATCAGGAATCTGGGACGATCGGGGCAGGGTGGAGGTTGTGGGGAGGAGAAGTGTCCATGGAGTTTGTCCCCGTCTGGGCTATTGCTTTCCCTTTTGCTCTCGCATGGAGGACATGTGGGGGTTGGGGTAGCTTCTCAGTCTTGTCCTTCAAGTCATTATTGAGCTGTTTATGAGCATGATAAGCAGGAGGTGGAGAGACCTATGTAGGCTGATCCCAACTCCAGAGGGATCGGGACGATCTTTGCAGGAAACCTCATTCTCACCCGAGTCCTCCCCGACCTTCTCCAGTGTCTTTTGCCTTCTGAGAGCACCCAAACACCCCAAACTCGTTGCCCTTCTGCCCAAATGCTTCATCCCACCTATGCAAAAGCTCATTGTCTCTCTGCTTGTCCTTCTCCACTCACAGCCCAGCTGAAGGTGGTGGGACCAGGCCGCCCTCTCGGTGCCACCGTGGGGGAAGAGGTTGTGCTGCCCTGTCAGCTCTCCCCTACCTTGAATGCTCAGACCATGACTGTCAGGTGGATCCGCCATCGCATATCTGAAACGGTGCATCTCTACCAAGGTGGAGAGGACCTGTATTTGGAGCAGATGAGAGAATATCGAGGGAGGACAGATTTGTCCCCTGATGGCCTCACCAGAGGAAAACTGGACCTGCTAATTGCCAATGTGGGACCCTCTGATGACGGACTGTATGTCTGCACTGTTCAAGATGATGCCAGTTATGCAGAAACGGCAATGGAACTGGAGGTGTCAGGTGTGTTACTGGCTCAGGTTTTACCTAGACTTTAGCTACATTTCCATGATGTTAGTTCTGGACCATAACAACAAAGTCCACCTTCCCCACTCGAATGGGCAAGAAAATGATTACCTCACCAATGCAGATGGGAAATGTGGTAGGTCTGAGGCAGATTTTGTGCCTGAGTTTGTAAGGAATCCTCTTTGGTCAATGTGGGTGGTTCTTGTTGGTTTCTTGCCCTGGGTTAGAGGATGCCTGGTCCTGCAGCCTCTTCAGGACACGTTGCGTGGGGATGCACCTCAGAGAACCTATTAAATTTCTTCCACTCTTGAAGGGATCCACTCAATACTCAACCCTGGATCATCATTTTCTCCCCAGCCATAGGCTCTTCTCCCCTTGTCTCACTGGAGGGCTACCAGGATGGAGGAATCCGGGTGGCGTGTCGCTCGTCCGGCTGGTTCCCAGAGCCCGACGTGTTGTGGAAGGATCCCCGTGGACAGCGGTTGTCCTCAGTGTCTCAGACACAGTCCCGTGATGAGAAGGGCCTCTTTGGAATAGAGCACAGCATCACCGTGAGAGGGGAGGTAGACGGGAGCTTGTCCTGCGTGGTGAGGAACAGTCGCCTTGGACAAGAGGAGTCGTCATCTCTGCATATATCAGGTCGGTTCCCCATTGGGGATGTGGAGAACCTCCCATTAGGAGGGAACGAGGATCCTAGGAGGAGAGTGAGAGCAGATGAGTAGTGATGTCTCCTTTTTCCTTAGCTCCCTTCTTCCATGATGCCCATCCCTGGAAGGTGGCTCTGGCACTGATGCTGGTGACTCTCTTAATCCTGATACTTGGTTTAAGTGTCTACGCTGTTCGCCTGTTGAAGAAGAGAGGTAAAATGCGGGGCAAAGGAGGAACGGGGCAAAAAGATGTGGTGAGGGAAGAACCATCCAGATGGAAAGGGGTGTTGGTTAGAGGAGTGAAGAGCAGAGGGCAGAGTTCTGGCAAAGGGGGGTCCTCTGTTAATGTCCTCTCCCTTTTTCTTCTCTTTTTAGAGAAACGGTACAGAAACAGTCTGGGTGAGTCTTCCCATTTCCACTGCTGAATCCTTTCTGCAATGTTGTGTTCTTGGCACGGACACGGTTTGATTAAAAGAAAAAGAAAGAAAGAAAAAAGAAAATTTGTGTTGGAACAAGCTCTCATTGAGCCCATGAGTGCTGGGATGAAGCAGCCTGGGAGCAATGGGAGTGTCTGTGCCTGAGCTGTTCCATGGATATGGGACAGGAAGAGAAAAAGGGTGGTCAGAACCATCCCTGGTGATGCCTTCTCCTGGGGTTGTATCTTGGGGATGGGAAGCTCCTCTGCTGATGTCCTCTTCCTTTCCCTTTGCTTTTCAGGGGACCTGTCCAGAGAGATGAGTGAGTTCTGTTCCTGTCTAAGGTTGTGCTCCTGGGATGGACAAAAGCGTGGTGGTTTGGTTGTTGCTTGGGGAAGGGTTTGGGTTAAAGGAAGCTCAGGCTGGGACAGGGTGTTGTCCATGTGCTCAGCATGGGGTGCAGAAGCCAAGGAGCAGGACCTGCCCCTTCAAGGGTTAGGAAGAGGAAAGGAAGGTCCTTTCTGATGAGCTCATGCTTTTTTTTTTTTTTTTTTTTTTTTGCCTTTCAGAGGAAAAAGAAAATAGACTGTGTGAGTCTTTCTTCTCCTTTCTCCTCTAAAACTCTTCTACAAAGGATCTCCTTGGGATGGACACCAACCTCTTGGGTTTGGTTCTTGCCTGGGAAAAGGACTGGGTTAAATCCAGCTAATGCTCAGCCAATGTGTAGTCAATGTCCCCAGCATGGGGATGCAGAAGGCTGGGATGAAGACCTGCCTCACAAATGTCTGGGCATTGCCAGTTCCCTGGGTATGGGGGAAAAGAGTTGGTAGAAGACAAGAATCAGGACCCGTCCCTTGCAGGGTTAGGAAGGGGTCAGGAAGGTCCCTTTCTGATGGACTTTTGCTATTGTTCTGCCTTTCAGTGGAAAACGAAAAGGACCTGGGTGAGTCTTTCCTCTTTTCTCTCATAAAGTGTTCTACAAAGGGATCTCTTTGGGGTGGACACCAGCTTCTTGGATTTGGCTATTGCTTGGGAAAGGGTCTGGGTTAAATTAAGTTCATGCTGAGCCAGTGTGTTGTCAATATCCTAAGCATGGGATGCAGAAGGTAAGGAGTGGGACTTCCTTCCAGGGTTGGAAAGGAGGTAAAGAAAGAAGATCTCCTTATGATGACCTTGTACTTTTTTTTTTTTTTTTTCATTTCAGAGAACAAATCCATGGAGCTGGGTGAGTCTTCCCCTCTGCCTTCTAAAACTGTTCTAAAAAGGGATATCTTTGGAATAAACACCAGGTTCTTGGGTTTGGCTCTTGCCCGTGAAAAGCTGAGTTACATCAAGATCAGATTAAGCTAGTGCATTGTCCTTGTCCCCAGCATGGACATGCAGAAGGCTGGCACCTAGGTGCCTAGCAGCAGGCAGATAGGACCCCTGTTAATATCTGGGCATTGCCCCTTCCCTGGGAATGAGGAAGAGAAGCCAACTCCGGGCATAGAGTCATCCCCAGTGATGCCTTCTCCTGCGGTTGCATCTTGGGGATGGAAAGCTCCTCTGCTCATGACTTTTCTTTTGCTTTTCAGAGGAGAAGACTGCAGAGCTGGGTGAGTTACTTTTACCTGATTCCTCTTGTAAAACCTTTGCAAAAAGCTGATCCCTCTAGGCTCGAGGCAGCTTTTCATGACTGCAGTCGCAGGTTGAGGCCTTTCAAAACAGGGTCTCAGACTTCCAGAGTGAGCCCCCAAACTCTGTCCTGGGAGAGGAGGATCTCAGGGGTGTCTGGAAAGCCCTTGCCCAGCACTGGAAGTTCTGCCTTGTCCCTCTCCAAAAAAGCAGTGACTGGTCTGGGGACACCCTAGTGAGATGTGTGGGGTGAGAACAGGACTGGACCCTCTTCCCTGCCCATGTCCTCAGTGTTGCCCCGTGTGGGGACAAGCATGGTGTTATAACTGGCTCTCATCTTTCCTTGCAGCGTGGAGAAGAATGATTTTCCCTCTAAACACAGGTAAAGACAGTTTGTCCTTTTACCCTTCCTCAGTCCTTTCCTTCTATGGAAAGTCCTCTTTATTTTTTTTCTGTGTTTTTAGTGGGTAGATGGGCCTGGACATTTCTGGACCATCCCTGTCCTCAACAGACAGTCCATGACTTGTATCTTAGAGCATGAACCTGACAGCACCAGGCCTTGTTCCTCCTTGGTGGAGGGAGCTGTCGTGTCCCACCTTAATGAAAGTGGAGAACCAAAGAGTTCTTCAAACCAAAGAGGTCTTCACCCAAACTGTTCCTATCCCAGAGACCTGTCCCAACACTCTGCTTGTTCTTGTGCCTGCAGAGGAGGTTTTCCTGGATCCAGACACAGCTCATCCACAGCTCGTACTGTCCCAGGATTGCAGAAGTGTGAGATGGACCGAAACATGGCGGAACCTTCCATACAGATCCAAGAGATTCGAACATTTGTGCTGTGTGCTGGGCCGGGAGGGATTCAGTGAGGGGAGACACTGCTGGGAGGTGGAGGGAGAGGTGGGCGATGAGACGTGCTGGGCCGTGGGGGTGGCCAAAGAGGCCTTGAAGAGGGATGCAATCGCTTATGCCCCTGCCAAGCAAGGGATCTGCGGTGTCCAGCAACAGAATGGAAAGTTCGAGGCTCTCACAGCCTCTCACAACCCCTTGTCCTTGTCTCCAGTTCCCAAGAGGATCTGGGTAGTTCTGGACTGCACACTAAAGCAGGTGATATTTGTCAGTGGTGATAGTGGGGCTGAGATCTACACATTCAGGTCA